GGTGTACCTAATAAAGTGGCCGGTGAGTGTAATCTTACACATTCTGAATACAAGATTATTATTCTTACACAATCAGTTCTTGTTTAGTAAATCAGTCTCAAAACAAGATCAAAAAGACTTTTTGGCTGATATAAGGTTTTAAAACTTGGTAAGATGGACAGTTTTTGCAGTGTACGCATCAAGTTGAGCTTTTGCAAAACAGGTAAGTGAGAAAAAAAGCTCCGTCTAAGCGGTGGAATGTGGACACACAACTCAGTCTACCGCTATTAATGAAGGTATGCAGAGGTGAGCTGGATCCAGAGCAGAGACAGTGGCTCGAATGATCGAAGGCTGGGTGGAGGAGGGGTGGGAGGCTCATGGAGAGAATTCAACTCACAGATTATTATTATTAGCTGTTTTTTGTTTCTTATCTTGAGAGACGAATTTGTTGCCTTTACGCACGAGACGCTCCTCAAACGCACGCGCTGTTTAATGATCCATCTATATGTTTACATCAATCTGTTAAATGAGATGTTTGACATTTAAATTTGGAGGTCAGAGGGCAACCCCAGCTTTGCTTCTGGCCTTATTTCTCAGCGGAAGTGACTCTGACGTGAAACTTTGCGCACGAGAGGGGAAAAATGCACGAGCACAACTCACCCAAGCCTGAGGTAGATGATGCCAAAACACAGGAACACATAGAGACTCCGCTTTCGGAGGGGTTTGTGCATGATCGTTAGCACTTTGTCCAGAGGCCATGCACTGTTACACAAAGCAGCTTTTCCCTTCACATTGGGTTTTTTTCTTTCTTTCTCTGTTTTCTTTATTCCCACGCTCCTCTAACCCCCCCAGATGCACCGTCTATGTTCCGTGACATCAAGCTGGAGCTCGTTGGAAGCCTTCAGTGGAAAATCCATGCTTCAGGAGGACAGGTGAGAGGTGCTGATGAGAGCTGACTCAGTGGGTAGAATAATTAAAATCATAAAAAGTCCAGGTTGAAAGCTGAAGGAGAGGACCTGAGAGGTGACGGAGTTCCTCCTGTTCGTCCTGACTTTCACACTAAATTCTCTTCAACTCTTTCTTCCGTCTTTGGTTGTTTTGCTCTTGTCTTCCTCTTTGCGCTGCGCCCTGAAGGTGGACTCTGTCTGCCGCAGAGAGACGCGCGGAGCTTCCTGACGCGGAGCTGTCTTCCTCGAAGCGCGTGCGCCTGTTTCTGGAAGTCATCTCAGACTGCAGAGCAGCACTTCCAGCAGCCCAGGTAAGTCTCAGCACAGGTAACAAAAGGGCTGCGCGCCTCCTCCTCCTCCTCCTACCCCTCCCTCCCCCACACCGCATAAATCTGCTGCTGAATGGGACGGGCAGAGCGGAACACGTGGACTTGTTGTACAGACAGAGAACAGAGTGGAATGGCCCTTTTATAGGCCTGCAAAGCCAGGGGCGATGCAACAAAAGGCATGGCCCCCACCATAGGGTGTGTGTGTGTGTGGGGGGGGTGGGGGGGGGGGGTATTGTTGGGGGCACCACAACTCTAAGCTCCAAAATGAATTAATCTGTTTAGAAATATAAAGAAATGAACAAAACACTGTGACTAATAAAGAACAATCATCATGAGCTGAATGTGCTTCTTTTTATGAGGCAGCAGTGATTAAATCTAGATATTTTATTGGGGGTGAGTCGTTGTGATGGGAGCTGTCTGCACATGGTTCTGCTCCTCAGCTCTGAGACTGAAGAAGACTCCCTCTGGTGGCTGTGAGACATTTAATAAACATCCAGAGATAACAGCGCTTCCTCCTGAGACATGAGCGACACAAACTGGGCTCACTGCGCAGCTGGACCTGCGAGGCATTTTCAGTCATTCTGCTTTGTTTTCATGTGTTTTAAAACAGCAGGCAGTGAAAGAAACGGCTTTTTATTAGTGCTGATGTTTCAAATGAAATTTTCATTTTGGTCACTCACAGCTGTTTGTATCTGTTTTAATTTTTTATTTTGTTTGTTATTTTTTTGGTAAAGTATCTTATGTACATTGGATAGATTAATGCAACTCTCAGAAATATATGTGAGCCATCATATCGAAATGAGGATTAAGTCAAATTTGGTCAAAATGACCTAATTACATTTTCAGATTCCTGCTTTAAAAGCTACATTTTGATACCTGGATCATCCTGATATCACAAGTGGATCTACAGATATGCATTAATTTGTCTTGTTGGTCATGATAATACGTTAATATTTGGTTGGAATCCTAATTTTATGTAATTTTTATGAGAAATTTGCTTTTCATTATGAACAGGAAACCTGAAATAGTATTTGAATATTGACATTTCCCAGTTGGAAAGAAACAAAAACATTGCTAGCTCATAAGAAAAATCTCAAACTTTTTTCCCTCAGAATCAGTATTTTTGTTGCTACTGCTCAAAAAAGTGCTAAAAATATTTTGGGATTATATTTCACACAGTTCATTCAAATGAAACATTGATGACACATTTTTTTGCTATATTTTGAAAAAATGAAATTTTTGTAAGTGTTTGAATCAAAACACTATATTTGCCTGTTTGTCCATTCACCACTTTTAGACTTAATCCTCGTTTCGATGTGATGGCTCACAAATGTACACGTCAACTTGTCAGTCAGTTACACTAATTTTTCCCCATTTTGAAGGCATTCAAACGAATAGAGAAATGTCTTGAATTTTTTAATTCAGCTCCAAATTATTTTACATTTATTTATTTAAAATGTATTAATTTAATTAAAAAGCAAAATCAATTCTATATACAATAGGAGAAACAGAAAAATCTCAGAGCCTGTAGACCAGAGGTGCCCAAAGTGGGGCCCGTGGGCCAAATTTGGCCCGCCAAGCCACTTGGTTTGGCCCACCAGCAGTTATCCTGGTTACTAGGTTGTAATCGTCTGTCTTATGTAGAAATACTTTATTTGCACTTAGTCTTTTCAAACATTGGTCCAACTATATGTACAAGGAGCTGTAGTCAGATAGTCTTAACTTATGGTGCTCACTTTCTCTTTGAATTTTGTTAAGATTAAACTTAAAATACAAGTAACTTCAAGAGATATTTATGAGACTGAAGTCCATATCTAGATTTGCACACCTTATAAGACCACATGTGCTCAAATTTTAAATTATGAAAAGTCCCATGAGCCTTTTCTGCCCAAGCACACATTGAATTTTCTCCATGTCCATGGGCTGAAATAAACAAACAAACAAACAAGAAAATGTGGGCAGTCGGCAAGATGGCGGAGGAGTGAGACGTGTGTCGCATGGCTCCCGCTCCGACTTGTTCTGTTTGTGGTTCTATAATAAATGCCCTTGCTGTTTTGAACATTTGGTCCATCTGGACTCGACCCCTGAGTGATTCTTGCCTGGAAGAGGAGAAGAATGGCGACAAACTTGAGGAAAGACAAACATTCTAGCTCGACGGCTGTTAGGCCCGACGCCACCCCGGAGCAGGCTGCAGCTAAAGCTGGAGTTTCGGCGCCCTCCTCTCCCTCCCGCAGCGAGGCGGACGCACTCTCCTTGAAGTCTGACATTCTTGCCGCTATAAAAACCAATCTCTCAGCTGTGATCAAATTCGAAATAAAAGCGGCTTTGGCTGAAGAGTTTACTCTTATTAAAGGAGAGCTGCAAGCGGTGAGAGCTGAAGTGGCTAACAGCACGATGCTACTGCATGCAGATCTGGACCATGTGAAACAGAGTGTTAAAGAGGTGGAGGACGGTTTGTCAACCTGGTCCGATGAGGTTGTTTCTCTGCGCACCACCGTGTTGGAACTGAAAGAAGAAGTCGTTGGGCTCAAAAAGAAGTGTGACGATGTGGAAGGGCGCATGAGAAGGTGCAATGTGTGGATTATTGGAGTTCCAGAGACACCAGAGTCCAGCTACACTTCAGCAGTGGCTAAACTGCTAGCAGAGGTTCTACAGATGGATAAAGTGCAACTGGTGGACCGAGCCCATCGCTCTCCAGGTGGAAACAGGTCAGGTGATAAGCCGCGGGTCATTGTCGCTAAGCTGCACTATTATCAAGAATTTGTGGAAATACTGCGTCGGGCTCRGAGTCGTGGTCCTCTTCGTTTTAAAGAGTCACAGATCATCATCACATCTGACTACACGGCAGCTGTGGCCAAGGCTCGAGCGGCGTTTACGGAGGTGAGGAGGCTTCTTCGCAACCGACGTGATGTTCGCTATGGCCTGCTTTTTCCTGCATGGCTYCGCATCTYTCATGGGGAGGAAAACAAGGAGTTCCTGGATGCCAATAAAGCAATGGACTACGTTAAAGAGGATCATATCAGCGACGGACAATGAGGACTGGCGTTGACCGCAGGTCCAGCCCTCATTGATCCATTATGTCTGTCAGGTTGTAATGAACCTTCTAACTTTATGTCCCGCGTTATATCTTGATTTAATTTTAGACATTATTCCGAGGGACGACATTCCTCTTTTTGTTCAATGTATGAGAGTTTCACAGGGGGTCTGTCCAGTTCTTGGTTAGTGATTTATTTATCAGTGCTGCAAGGAGCATAAACAGTAATAATACTTTAAAGTAAGGGAACCCCTTTTTAATATTTTTTTTTGTTATTGTTATTTAGTTATGGCAGGAGTCCAGACAATGAGGTAAGCCCTCCAGTATAAGCACAAATGTGTGGATTTTTTGTTTGTTGGGTTCTCTGTGTTTTTTTAGGAGAAAGGGGTGGGACT